GGGCGGCAGCAGACCGAGCGAAGCGCTTGGTTGGGGAAGGTTGGGAAGAACCTCGCGGGGGGTGAGGACAGCCGGCGCCCGCCTCCCCCTGTCGCCCACATCAACCACCGCCCGTGCCCGTCTCTCCCGCAGGTGTTGCAGACGTTGGGGACAGAAACGTACCGGCCCAGTTCCGCCTCCCAGTGCGTGGCCGGCATCGCGTGTGCGGAGATCCCCATGAACCAGTGGCCCGAACTCATCCCCCAGTTGGTAGCGAACGTCACGAACCAGCACAGTACGGAGCACATGAAAGAGTCGACGTTGGAGGCCATTGGCTACATCTGCCAGGATATCGTGAGTGTCTGAAGCGTTACCGTGGGAATCTTTGACGTGCTGGCCCAGCCTCTCGCCGGCACCTTTCCTCTTCCAGCCCTTCCCTTCTCCCACCTCTGTATCCAGCAGCTGTCACGCTGCCTTCGGGCTCGTCCGGACCATGGCTCTGTGCTGGCAGCGAGCGGGCGAGGACGGTGTCTGGGAGGACTGACCCGCTTTCGCGGCACAAATCCAGGTCACCTCCCGTAAGGTGGAGTTTTCAGCCGATAGGTCGCTGCGGTTGTGCGAGGGGTGCTGTCAGAAAGCTTCAGCTGAACCCCCCAGCTGTGTAAAAAAGTTACAGATGAGCGTTGTTTGGTTCTTTCCTGCGTTGGGGACGCCTGACAAGTACCTTCATCTTGCACGGGGAGTCCTTTATTCTTAATTTTGGGGATTTTCGGTGCACAGGCAAGAGTATTTAGGGCTTTGAGGCAATTTCTGCAGAAGGTCCCCTGGTTTTATCAGCGTGGTGTGCAGCATCACGGTGTCTGGCAGTGAGCAGCTGATGTGAATTGCTTGCAAAAAAAACCCGGTGTGCTGCCTGACCTGCCGCTGAAAAAAACCCCCACAAAATTAGCTGCTGCTTTTTTGGTGCTGCTGAGCACCTTAGAGAATGTACCTCGCTGTGGTGAGGGAGGAGGAGAAATGTGCTGTTTGGTGCTTTCATCAGGCTGCAGGGGACTGGTTTCACTGGGGAGGTGGGTTGCTTCATGGAGGGTCGGTGAGGAAATCTGGAGCTGCGCAAGGGGGGGGAGCTCCAGGTCAGTTTGTTACAAGTCGGCGCCAGGCTGGAGCGTTCGGTCGTTCTTTGGGTCGTGTGGGTCGTTGGCCTCTGCGGTTTTTGGATGCCCTGGCTTGGTGGTTGGGTGTTTGGTCAGCCGGATGCCGCGGGTTGGAGTTTGTCAGTCCCAGTGTGACCTACAGCTTGTGACCGTAGTTTGGGAACCTGCTGCTGGATAAATTCTGGCGTAACAACGCGGTTATTCGGGGATCTTGAAGAAGAAAAATTAACCTTTAGCCAGTGTTCGCAGCTGTATTCATTAAGCCTTGAGTCCTTAACAGTTACTGTCCTTGCTGCTGGTCCAGGCAATGTATTTCTGCCCTACATCTAAAAAAGGTTGGTGACTTTACCTGGAAGTATCAACCGCAGCTGCTGGCGTGTCCAGGAGCTGGAAAACAGTCAGTGTGTTTAAATTTTCTAATCGGAGGAAGTCAAGTGGTCTGAAGGTTGTTGGCCTGTTGAGACAGCGGAGTTTATTTGGCGTTTGTGACTTGAGTGCCTGGAGTATTTGTGCTCGGTTCAGTCTTCCCCATTCCAGAAGCTGTAAAGAACCTCACAGTGTGTGAATTCCTTGTACTTGTGTTCTGGTCCTCCCAGGGAGCATGGGGCTTCTTGGCCTTCATGTCTTAAAACTTCTGCTTGTAGGTTTCAGGATCAAACTTAGAGGGTGCTTTAAAATACGGAGAAAGCTGTTCAGCTGGCCAATAACTTCATCAACACTTCTTTTAGGATCCAGAGCAGCTCCAGGACAAATCCAATGAGATCCTGACAGCCATCATCCAGGGAATGAGAAAGGAAGAGCCCAGCAACAATGTGAAGCTAGCAGCTACTAATGCACTCCTGAACTCTTTGGAATTCACCAAAGCAAACTTTGACAAAGAGGTGAGGGGGTAACAACTCTTGGTCTGGGATGCAAGAGCTGAATCCACGGTCTATGACGAGAAATCATGCACCACGCTGAATTTTGATGCATAATTCTGTGGCGACTGAGACTTGGATTCGTTTCTGTAAATCCACTCGTGCAGAAATACTGTGGAAATCTTGAGGGGTTCATCAATGGAAAGGAAGCATCGCTGACCTTTTTGGGATAAATTTGAACTGACCTTAGAGTTTAGCCCATTAGATGCCCTGCTTCCTAATCAAACTCGGCTCTACAATGCTGCTGTAAGAGTACAAGCTTGGATCAGCACTTTCTTTCAAGTGGCGTGGCAGCAATCCAGATTTAACTTTGCCTCTGAAAATTGTTGGGGGAGGAAGGCCTGTAAGAGTCTTCAGAACAGGGGCCTCGGAATGAGAGTCTTTTCAGAACAGGCAAATTGATGGGGTTTTCTTTTCGTTCTCGGATTAAGGCTGTCCTCTAGGTCTCTGCCAGGGAGAGTATGGGGAAGGTGGAATTAATATTAAAGATCTTCTAATGAAAACTTTCCCTAGTCAGCTACTCAGTGGATGTTGATGGGGATCAACTAGAATCTTTCAGAATCTGAGACAGGAGGTGTATGATCCACTCACACCGTATTTCTGCTGGGCTTCAGTCCTGTAAATGGCCAAAAGTCTGTTCCTTCCTACTAAAATGCAAGTGTCCAGGTACTGCCCCTCGAGAAATTTATGCCCTGAGTGAGTTTTGAGGCTTCTTGAAGCAATTGCTGCAATAGTTCAGGAAACAGCGGGATTTTAATTCTCCTCCCAAAAAGCTAGTGTCCTTCGTTCTGCTGCACCTTTCTGTTTTGGACAGCCTGTTAAGCCCTCTTTAAAATGGAAGCTTGGGATTCCCATTTTGGGGAAGAAATGGTTTAAAATACTGCAGTGAACAGTAACCTGTACTGTTCCTTCATCTTTAGAAGTGCTGCGTGAGGGATTGTACTAGTCCGGACTCAAAATACATCCTCCCTAGGAAGGTTTGCAAAGACTTCAGTGCTTTTGTAAGGCAGTTCTAATGTTCCTTTATTTCTTCTTCTAGTCTGAAAGGCACTTTATTATGCAAGTAGTCTGTGAAGCAACGCAGTGTCCAGATACGAGGGTGAGTGAAATTAAATCCTTTATTTGTCACTGCAGCTTGCTGGGGAAGCTGGCTACACCCTCCAGCATCAACGGGCGGTTGAAGCGGGTTACATGAAATAAACAGTCTTGTGTGAAATGATTGGTGGACCTACTCGAACAAGATGAGTTTTATACTTAAAGTCAGAAGTAGTAAACTACTGGGGAGGGTTTAATATCTGCTTGTGAAAGACCTTATTAGGTGTGGAGTAAAGGAAATGGGCAGGAAGGCTGGGTTCCTAACCTGCGGTGGGCTACGGCTGTGCTGGGCTTTCAGAGCACTCGGGAAGTTCCCATCTTTGATCCGTTTTCTGCTCTGACAGGTACGAGTGGCTGCCTTACAGAATTTGGTGAAGATAATGTCCCTTTATTATCAGTATATGGAGACATACATGGGTCCTGCGCTTTTTGCTGTGAGTACTCACCTTTCTCATACGTAGTTGTCCGATCTTCCTGTACTCCTTCGTCCTTGTCCTAGAGGAAAAGTTTTCTTCCCTTCCCGATTTGGTTTTCGGCCTTTGGCTGTGACCCCATGCCGTGAACCCCTCTCCTAGCAAAATCCTTAAAAACCAACATCGGGTGTTTCAGACTTGAGGCTCCCAAAGTCGGGACAGTGCAGGTTGCTTGGCTTGTTCCGCTCCTCCCGAGGGGCTGATAAACTTCCAAATGAGGAGATTGTTTCCAAGAACAGTAACTCTCACGTGGCGTCCGATTTCAGGCAATCCTGAATCTCGGACCGGTTGAACGCCAAAGGTTGGGGCCGCGTATTTCAGGAGAAATAACTTGCTAAAACGTCCTTTTCTCCCCTCCTCTCTTTTCGTGTTTCCAAAGATAACTATTGAAGCAATGAAGAGTGACATAGATGAGGTGGCTCTACAGGGCATAGAGTTCTGGTCAAATGTCTGCGACGAGGAGATGGACCTGGCTATAGAGGCGTCTGAGGTGAGCTCGCGAGCGGCCGCTGGGATCGTCTGAGACGCTGACCTCGTGTCTCTGAACCGCGGGGGGACGCCCTCCTGCTCTCCC